GACGAGGGCTGGAAACTCAACCGCGTCCACTACTACCAAGAAGGCTGGCTGGCTACAGGTAACGCGCGGGGGATCGTGGGCGTCACCTACACGACCTCCCACTCGAAGAAACCCTCCGAGCTACCTCCGAGGACCAACTACAACCTCAGAGGTCACCGAGCGGAGGTAAGTCGAGGAGGAGCCACGTTCTCCGTTTTTATTTTCTTTTCTTTTTGGATTTTTATTTTATTTCTTTGTGTGTGTGTGTGTGTGTGTGTGTGGGTTTCAAAATGGTGTTTTATCGGGATTTTTTTTTTTAACGTATGTTTTTATTTAAGAGTTTTTATTGTATTAAAAGAAGGGTTCTTTCTGATACATGTTGACAAGAAGCTTGGAATTTCATTAATATTTTTTGCAATCTCTTTGAGTTTATTGTGAAAAAAAAAAAAATGTTTTAGAAATTGTATGAGAGTGAGTGACAAACCTAGTTTTTTATGAATTTATTATTATTACTATTAATATTCAAATGCACAAGTGTGAACAGAAATGAATAATTTAATAATCTAATAAGAGTTCAGTCCATGATACGGGTTTTTGAATGGTGCGTATAAGAATTAATTATGAATTTCACAGTCACAGTGAATTTATTGCAATGCACCGAATATATAAATGAGAATGAATAACTCTGAATTAATAAGTTGAATGAAAAATGTGGGAGAGATAGATGTCGATTGAATATTGCAATGCTGATGAAAATGCAATCGAATGAGGGTTGTGAATTTACCAAAAGAAGAGGAAAGTAACTTTGTAAAAAAACTGTAAAATGGAAAAAAGAAAATGGATGTAATAATGAGAGAAAAGAAAAAACTAACTACATAGATAAATAGAAAATTAAGAGATATAAAACGTGTATATAAGGATGAATAAATGAATGAAGGTATGAGTAACAGTAAATTAATCTGTCATTGTGTTTTTTGTTTGTATGTATGTGTGTGTGTATGTATGTGTGTGTGTGTGTGTGTGTGTGTGTGTGTGTGTGTGTGTGGGTGTGTGGGTGTGGGTGTGGGTGTGTGATTGTGTGTGTATGTGTGTATGTGTGAGAGATATATTAATTTGATATATAGATAGATAGATGGATAGATAAATATTTAGATAGACATATAGTCATATAGGTAGGTAGGTAGATAGATAAATATAGAGAGAGAGGTATATATAGATGGATAGGTAGATAGAGATAGAGCTGGATAGATAGAGAGATAGATAAATAGATTAACAGAGAGAAACAAATGTTCGAGAGAGCGAGAGAGAGAAAGAAAGAGGGAGAGAGAGAGAGAGAGAGAGAGAGAGAGAGAGAGAGAGAGAGAGAGAGAGAGAGAGCGAGAAGCGAGAGAGAGAGAGAGAGAGAGAGAGAGAGAGAGAGAGAGAGAGAGAGAGAGAGAGAGAGAGAGAGAGAGAGGGAGAGAGAGAGAGAGAGAGAGAGAGAGAGAGATAATACCCAGCGGAAGAGGGAAGGAAAACAAGACACGTGAAAATCATTACTCAGGATCACCGCCATTCGTCTAGCTTCAGACTGAGAGAAAGCGATGACAAGTGAAAACGAATGAACGAAAGATTTAGGGAATACCGCGCGTTCTGCCTGTCTTTTTTCATAATTCATCGACTGATTCTAAATACGTAACGTTTTTTTCCTGTTATGTATTGATTGGTTTTATATATTATCGCATTTATATACCGATTTCTCGTTCGTTATTACTTTGGTTTTCTCTTATATATTAATCTGTCTTTCTATCTATCTGTCTATCCGTCTATCTATCTTTTCACCCATCAAAATCTATCCATCTATCTATTTCCATCTCCATCCCTAAGTCTATTAGTCCACCTATCTATCGATTCATTAATCAAGCAATTGTATTTTCATCTCAATCTCATGTCTCTCGGGAATCGTGATGGAGATGATATGATTGACGTGATACGAGGAAATAGAACTTTATTATCGTAATGAAATGGTGATGTGATACAGATGGTGGAAGTCGGATTTGTTCCTTTCTTTTTTGTTTTGTTTTATTTTTTTATTCTCTGTCTCTGTCTCTGCTTCTCTCTCTGTGTCTCTGTGTCTCTGTCTCTGCCCCTGTCTCTGTCTGTCTGGCTGTTTGTCTGTCTGTTTGTCTCTCTCTCTCTTTCTCTCTTTCTCTCTCTCTCTCTCTCCCTCTCTCCCCTCTCTCCCTCTCTCCTCTCTCTCTCTCTCTCCTCTCTCTCTCTCTCTCTCTCTCTCTCTCTCTCTCTCTCTCTCTCTCTCTCTCTCTCTCTCTCTCTCTCTCTCTCTCTCTCTCTCTTTCTCTCTCTCTGCGTGTTTGCCTCCTTTCTTTCTCTCTCTCAAAACAGAACCTCAAACAGAGAAAAAAAATAAAATAAGAAGAAAAGAGAAGAGAGCAGAATAAGAATAAGAAATGAAAAAAGAAAGATTAAAGAGAATGTACGATAAGACGCACAGAGGAAACCTGAGGATTGCAATTGCAACTGC